CAGAGCACAGGCCCAGAATTCAAGTCCCATGGCTGACAAAAAACAAACAAAAAAAAACCCAGTTTGTCCAAAGCAGATTTTATTGTTGCAATTGGCCTCCTCAAGCCATCTATTCCATTCTCATCTTCACACAATGACAATGTGGTATTAGCAAGTGACCGAGGCATAGATCCATAGCCAACCCACTGCCATCCTATCACTTCTTTTTTTGGCTACTCTGGTGCTTGAATTGAAGGAAAATTAGCACAAGATATGGTTTTCTTTACAATGCCAGTGGTTCTTTGCAGTGCCTCCAAGATCTATCCCCTTATAGTAAATTAATGAAATGGAAGCTCATAATAGGAGGGGAGGGGAGGGGTTGGGAGACGTGGAGGAGAATGAGGGGAGAGGAAACATTGATCAAGAAGCATTGTACTCATGAACTGGCACATTGAACTAAAACCCCCCTGTATAGCTACTTACGACAAAGAAACGTAAAATAACAAAGAAATATAAACATTTTGATATAATCAGAATGAGCCAAGTGTTACCACATCAATATTCTCAAATCTTACTGGGAGTCCTTTCACCACAGATCCCAATCATGACTCTTCTCTGAAACATTAAGTAGCCAATAAGCCCCAAATCCAAATGAAAACCAATCATCTGTTCTTACTCTGGAATAAAAGGACACTTTGTGTTAGATTTCCTGAGACTAGATCCTGATGGATTTTCCATGGAAATTGGAAGATCAGATGATTGTAAACCTTCACCCAATCCTTACACTAGTGGGATCAATGCTTCCCATGGTCCTAGCACCAGTGCTTTTATGACACTTTGTGATAAATATATGCAGCCATGCCAGTGCTGAGGCTGACCTAGATCCTACTTTATGATAAGGAACTGTCCTTCAAACCCTGGGTTTGACACAGAGCCAGCTGAGTCACCTTATCTGAATATTGCAAAGACTACATATCCCAACCCATAGGCTGTGAATGCACAGACCAGAGTTCTTTGAAAAACCCAGAAATATGAAGTTCGTGTTGGCTTTCATAAATCATCATAAAAATTCTACTATATCTTTAAGAGGATTTCCAGTGAGAAAGGAACATTTGTTCCTTGTAAAGATGTGCTTATAACAATATTTTTAAAGGAACTCTGCTCAGATGGTACAGGAAACACATTATGGTTTGTAGCATGCAAATTCATTGCTTAGCACATTACAGGAACACAAATACAATCTTGATCTCATAAGCTTTGCAGGTTCTGATTCATTCCTCCTTCCTTCTTTCCTTCATTCTCACCTTCCTACTTTCCTTTCTTCTTTGTTCTTTCCTCTCTCTTCCAGTTTCCTTTCTTCTGTTTCACCTTCTCTCCTTCTTTTCTTCCCCCCTTCCCTCTCCCACACTTTCCTTCTGGCTCCCCCATATTTCCTTCTTCTTCTTCCCCTTCCCTTCTCTTCCTTTCTATGAACTACAATATAGGAGACTTTAAGCAACTAATCTCAAATATAGAGGAGGTTCACTTTCATGTCTTTCAAATAAATGCCATATTCCTGCAGAAAGAACTGACTGAACTAAGTGAGAAGCTCATTTTTTCAGGCAGGTAGTCACATAGTAAGCTACCTAGAGTCAATGGAGAGAATGAGGACATCAGTGCACAGGTGCAGTTGAATTAAACTGTTTTATACTCAAAGATCAGCTGTGAAAGAGCCACTCCTTCATGAGCTGATGCTCCCATCACACTCAGAATATAGTCCGCTTCTTTAGTAGTGTCTTCCCCCTCTCCCCCCACAGCCAGATGGCTAAATACCAACCTCTAACCACACCCCTTATTAGAAACAGTGAAGATTCGTTTTCTAAATGCACAATTGGATATGATGTGAAAACACATGACACTGTTGAAAAACAAGTATTTAAAAAATGTAGAAAGTAACACAAAATCCACTGACATCTAAAATCTGTAAAAATGGAAGGGATCATCTTGAATAGACTATCTTATTCAATCAAGAAGCAAAATGAAGTTTTAGGACTTGTGGTAAGTGGTTATTAAAAATTCATTTCATGGGGCTGGGAATGTGACTTAGTGGTAGAGTGCTTGCCTACCATGCATGAAGCCCTGGGTTCGATTCCTTGGTACCACATAAACAGAAAAAGCCAGAAATGACACTGTGGCTTGAGTAGTAGTAGAGCGCTAGCCTTGAACAGAAGAAGCTCAGGGACAGTGTCCAGGCCCTGAGTTCAAGCCCCAGAACTGACAAAAAATATTTCACAGGCTGGAAGCATGGCTCAATTGGCAAGAAATCCAAGTATGAATGTGATGCCCTAGGCCTTTAGTTCAAACACTGGCATTAGAAAAAAAAATCATTCAGTCATGCTTAGTAGGTCAGTAATAACAGACCAAATGCTAGTAATAAGGCTGGATGTAACATCTACAATGCAGATGCAGGCTTTGTAATTGGAATTGATTCTCCTTCCTCAATCAACAGATTGGTCTAACTGAAGAACAGGGGATATCCATGACCACCATCATAACTGGAGAACTGAAGTTTAGCTTCATATTCCTCATCAAATTATTCTACAGATGCTTACTCTCATGTCTGGCTTGCTAAGTGAATTCACAGCACCCTTGAACAAATCAGAGAACACATCTTCACTTTGATAGCATTAGTCAGCAATCCTTTTAGTCATGTTTCTATGGCCAAGGCACAATTGCAACAAAAGAACTTATATGTTGACAATTTATATTTTATTATAATCTTTGCTGTACTTGGGCAAAAGTGAGGTAACATTATATAATCTGCATTTTCATGAAAAAGCCTTTTGTCTTTTTTCCTTTCATCTTTCTTTTAAAATTTTCTTTAATTTTAATTTCTTTTTCTTGTCGGTTATGGGGCTTGAACTCTGGGCCTGGGTGTTATCCCTCAGCTCTTCAGCTCAAAGCTAGCACTCTACCACTTGAGCCATAGCTTTTTCTATGTGGTGCTGAGGAATTGAACCCAGGGCCCCATACATGAGAGGCAAGTACTCTACCACTGAGCCACCTTCCCAGCCCCTAATTTTAATTTAATCTAATTTTATTGCCAGGGTGATGTCAGAGTTACATAAGTAAAGTAATGAGTACATTTCTTATAGAATATTGTTATACCCTCCCTTGTTTTCTTCCCCACTTTCCCTCCCGCTGACTCCCTTCCCCTCCCCAAGCTTTTTTTTGTGCAGTAAGAAGGACTAGTGTAAATCTACCGTGAGGTTAATGAAATATAAGTTTATGCTGCTTGATTATTTTGCATAAATCTTATCTAAAAACAAAGCAATAGAATGATGGAAGGGATGACATCGTACTTATAAACTGTCAAATGTACTCATTATCTTGCCCATGTAATTGTAACCCCTCTGGACAGTATTTTCACAATAAAAAAAAGTATCTATAAACTGTCATATTGAATTGATACCCCTTTGTAGGACTAGTAAAAATAATGAAAACATGAAGAGCTAGGTGATGGTGGCTCACTCTATAATCCTAGCTACTCAGGAGCCTGAGACCTAAGGATCACAGTTTAGGCTAGACCTGGCCAAAAGGACTCTGAGGCTCATCTCCAGTTAACCGCCAAAAACCCAGAAGTAGCTGTGGCTCAAGTGGTAGAGCATTAGCCTTGAGGGGAAAAAAAAACAAAACAAAAAGCAACAACTAAGGAACAGAGCTCCAGTACTGACTGGCACATGGGAAAAAAAACCAAACCACACAACCAAGTCCTAAAATATTTTTATTTTTTTTTTTAGGGGGAGGGCGGGGATCGGTCGTGGGGCTTGAACTCTGGGCCTGGGCGCTGTCCCTCAGCTCTTCAGCTCAAGGCTAGTGCTCTACCACTTGAGCCACAGCGCCACTTCCGGCTTTTTTCCTTTTGCTTATGGGGTGCTGAGGAATCAAACCCTGGGCCTCAGGCATGCAAGGCAAGCGCTCTACCACTGAGCCACCTTCCCAGCCCCCTAAAATATTTTTAAAGCTGCACTTGCACACCCTGAAGTGATGATGCAACACCTGCAATACAAGTACTTAGGAGGCAGAAGTAGGAGATTTGCATTCTGGGGCCAACTTGATGTAAAAGCCCGAGACCTTATCTGAAAAAAAAAAGTATATGAAAAAGGATGAGGGTGTTTTGAAAGCATGAGTCAAGTGGTAGAGTGCTTGCCTAGCAGGTGTAAGGCACTGAGTTAAAAAAAAAAAAATTAGCACTACAAAGATCCACTTGTCCTCTCATTTGCCTTTGGCTGCTTGTTCTAACCCCAACAGTCATTGATTGAGGTACAACTTTTTGGTGGGTCACAGGGCTTGAACTCTGGGCCTGGGCGCTCTCTCTCAGCTCTTCAGCTCAAGGCTCTACCACTTGAGCCACAGCACCATTTCTGGTTTTCTGGTAGTTTATTGGAGATAAGAGTCTTCACGGACTTTCCTGCCAGGATTGGTTTTGAACCACGATCCTCAGATCTCAGCCTCCTAAACAGCTAGGATTTCAGGCATGAACCACCAGCACCCTGCTGAGGTACAACTCCTTTCACATGAACACAGGCTAATAGCAGTTCATCTCAAATTTCCGCTAAATACTATACATCTCTCCTATTTATCTTGTAATTCAATGTATCGGCCAAACCCAGAGTTATTCAGTAACCAAGCAGATTCAAGGTTCCGACTTACAGAGGGATGCATTCATCAACAGGATATAAGGGGTAGAGGATAAAATTATTTTCCTTCTTCTGTTAGAACATGCTTTCCTGAGATAACAGGTTTGCATGGCTTTTTAGGAGATGATCCTTCACAGTTGACTACTTATATTACTCATATCAGAGTCTAAATAGTAACCATGTTGATGAGGTTTCGGCAAGCTTATACATCCTTATACATCCTGATTTTTACTGGAAGGATGTTGGCTAATCAAAGAAAATCATAGCACATGCAAATTTGCATTCATCTGTGCTCTCTAAGGAATGTGGATTGCAGTAGGCACTATGTTTGTGAACTCTTACCTTTGGCTGCACTGGCGGCGCACAGGGAGCTGAAACAGGATCCGTGATGTAGGTCTTTTTGACACCTGTGGCTGGGTACATCCCAACAGGATTCTGGTTCCCCACTCCAGGAGGATTGTACCTGGGTTCTTGCTTCCAGGTATTAGGATGGCCTTGTTGACCATAGCCAGGGTCAGAGTCATTTCTTCCCCCATAACCAGGACCTGCTGCATAATAGGACTCATAATGGCGGCCTTGGTTAGGAGCATACCCATATGCGGGCTCAGGTGGTGGAATATATGCATAATCAATACCAGCCCGGGTTGAAGGAGGTGGGCCCTGTGCTGACATAGGAACTGGCTGAGTATTATAGGCTTGGAGCCCTGGGCCATACATCTGTCCTGATGAAGGGCCAGCCATGTAATGAGGGCTGGGCTGGGCTGATTTCACCTGCACATTGAAGGTGGGCCTTGAAGGTGTGGATGCTGTGGTATAGGATGCTGGAACTGGCTGAGGCTGGGGCTTCAATGTTCCTATTGGAGTCACAGGGATGGGTGCAGTTTGGGGTGCAGGCTGTGGCTTCATTGTAGACTTTTTGGTTGCTGTTAGAGGGGGTTGGTTTGGGATGACCATTCTCTTGTGTCCTGTGACAGGAGTAGAAACTGGTGGAGAGACTGTTGAACTGGTTGACCCCTGAAATAAAGGAAGAAAAAAATAAAGGTCATTGCCAATGGAGACTAGGAAGGAAAAAATAAAGGTTATTCCAATGGAGAATAAGAATATATAAATGAGGAAATATTAATAAAATTTAATTACTCATGTATTGATAATCTTACTTTCAGAGGCCTTACAAGCTAACATAAAAGTATTTTATGTCTCTATGTACTGACACTGAATACTTGAAAAAAAAAACTAAAGAAGCAGGTCTGTTTGCAATGGCACCCAAAATAATCAGATATCCACGAATAAGCATAAATAAGGAAGTTAAACAAGTACATTACAAACAAAAGAATTAATAAAAGACACAAGGAAATGAAGTAACATCAGGCTTCACAGATTGGAAGGCTTACTATTATTAAAACACCCATATAACCCAAAGTGATCTTCAGATACAGAGTCATACCTAGCAATATCCCTATAATTTTTCTAGAAAAAAGAAAAATAAAGATTCAGATGAAGAGCCAAATCCATTTTGAGAAAGAAGACTAGAACTGGTTGGACTCAAATGGTAGATTTCAAAATACACTATAAAGTTATAGCAAACAAATAATGTGGCATTAAGACAGAAAAATGTACCACAATAGAGTCCCAAATATACACAAACACTATTCAGGGTTGTTTTTGTTTTTTTGACAGGATTGCCAAGAATACACATCAGACAGTATAGTTCTTCACAAATAGTGTTGAGAAACCTGGATATCCAGGTTTCTGAATATAGAAGCCTGTTCAGTGTCAACCTTACATCTTCATCATAAAATACATTAAAGATTCAAACATGTCAATGATTAAGGTTAACAGCCTAACTGGAAAGGTATGGAAATAAGAACAAAAAATTATGACATTGGTCTTACTAAAGTTTCACAACTATGACATCCAAGATACAGACACAAAATCAAAAATAAACAAATTGAATGATGTCAAATAAAAAAAAAAAAACAGTGCACAAAAAAGGAAATGAAGGCCAGGGTGAAATGGTAAGTAGAGATCTTTTGCCAGTCATCTATCCAGGAAAGAGTTAGTCTTCAAAAAAAAATAAGGAATGCTTTCAATTCAATTTTACAAAAAGAAAAATGCAAAAGCTTTTTATAAAGAGCCATAGCCATCCAGTATTAAAAAAAACTGTGCAATGTTGCTAATCATGGAGCAATGTGAATCAAAACTACAGTAAGAGATTACCTCCTTACTGTCACAATATCAATTATTAGGCAAAACTAAACAAAAGACACATATCAGCCAGGATATCAGAAGTATTACTTGCTTTTGGTGGAAATGTTTCTCAAAATATTAAAAATAGAACTACCACATAATCCAGCAATCTCACTCTATGGTCTTCATCTAATATATTTTAAGTCAGGAAATTAAAAGATTAATATTTATATGTTCACTGATGAGCTAATCTTAACATCCATGATATGGAAACAACTTACATGTCCATTAACAGGTGGAAAAGACAGTTATATGGATCTAATGCAATATTATTCAAACATAAGGAAGTTCTATAATAGGTTACAGCATAGCTACACTTTGACTACATAAATTATGTGAAATAAACCAATCAGAGAAAGACAGTGTCAATTCTACTACATGAAATGTCAAAACTGGTTAAATTTACAGACTAAAAGAGTGGGATGATAATTGCTATGGTCTAGATGGTAGATGATTGAAAGTCAGTCATTAATATAGTTTTAGTACAGCAAGATGAATAAATTCTACAGATCTGCTGTTCAATAAATTACCTATCATCAACAATAATATATATTTAACATTCTGCTAAAAGACTAGCAACACAGGCATGTCAAGTGGTCTCCTGACACGACACAACAGAAATAGAGGGCTTGATCCCAGAGAGAGAAAACACACAATAGGTGCATTTGTCCTTGGCTCAAGGTCACAGCCAATTCTCATTTGTGTTGTCCACACACATTCTATGTTTACGTCTGTTGGTTCCTCTCCTGCACTATAACCAACACCATAGAATGACAGACACTATTCATTCTAGGACACAAACTCTATAGCTTTACATTTTGGAGATGCTTGAAAAATTTTGGTTGGAAAAATATATCACATGAAAAGATATTTAGAGATATTCAAGATTCAGAAAATTACATATATGTATTTATAGATGAGCATAAAATTTAAATGCACTTGATTTTTCAAAATGAGAAAATTAAATCATGATAAAAATTCAAGAATTCTTACAATAACAAAGCCAACATGATACATACAAAACATATGCTTGGACAAATACCAAAAAATCCAATTAAGTAGAAAATATTCAACATGTGGATCTTTTGTTCAATTAATTGAATACATGGACCACCTAAGTTTTTCCATCGCTTTCTTTAACCGTGACGAACAAAAAATATACATTAAAATGATTCCTGTTCATTTCCCCTTCACCAATAACAAGGTAAAGTATATAAAACACATGCAGAGTAAAACATACTATTTTTAAACAATAGTATGCCATGCAAAATAAAATATTTAGACTCATTCCATTACATGCACAATAGAGATGAGGAAAATCTTTTTACCACAACAAAGTGCTGTAGTGGGGAATATTTCCTAGATGGAAGCAATGGCTCCTTAGATGTCCTGATGTCTCCATTCAAAGACTTTAGAAGAGGAAGAGGGGGAGGAGGAAGGGTGAAGGAGAGGAAGAGACTCATCATCAAGAAAGAAAGTCCTGTCATTAGCCCAGCTGCTCAGTTTCTATCTCCATTTATATTAGACTTAACAAAGTTTACAAAATATAAATCTAAGTTTTCAATGAACTGGAGTTATCAAAAAAGGGAAAGTGTAGCCTCTCTTTTCATTTTATTACAACTCTGCTGAAATTTCTATGACCGGCATAATAGATGAAGGAAAACTATACTTCAATTTTTTTTCTGTAGGTGTAAATGAACTTTTCCATGCCCTCTATTATATAATGTGAAGTCAAATAGGTATTTCTTTTGTAATGTTTTCAGCATAAGTATGTATGTATGTATGTATGTATATACACATATAAATAAAGAGAGAGAAGATGCATAATAAGAAAAATTCACATTTGTTTATATTGGGTGCTATGGCCACTACATTCATGTAGAAGGGTAAAAGTCCATCCAATTGGAAATACAGAGGTTGCTTGAAGTACAAAATAAGTAGCAAGTTTGCATGTTCAAAGGGCAGAATTAAAGGACAGAAGAGTGGAGAGAGAAGGAAGGAAGGATACAACTCTATTCACTAGACTCTTCTAACAACAGGAAACTAACTGTAGAATTACAGATTCTCCAGGAAACTATTTGAGACAAATGATATGTGGGAAATATTACTGTGAGAGACCATCTCAACAAAAAATCATGACAAAGTCAAATTAGATCTTCTCAGGGAGTTGATTCATACAAGCATTAAAGTATATAGTCCCTCATTGAGATGTATAGTAGCTATACAGATGAAACAGTACTCCAGGGCTACCATAGCTGAAGATGTAATGTCTAGGCCCAAGATTATAAAAAAGAGCAGCTGTCTGAATAAAGAAGAGAATGCTATAAAAGTGTAATAGAAAGAGCTCATATAGAACCAGTGACCTTTCTTGGTAGGCAAATTGTGAAGGGACTTTGATGATCAGCCAGCCAGAAGAATGCACATAGCAAAAAAAGTCTGTTAGTGTCTCTCACAAGGAAACTATTGACCTCAGGAATTTTACAATGCTGTTTTGCTCCCTAGTCATTCATGTAATAGTGTTCTTTAATCTTTCTAATAATAAAATGTCCCTATTCATTTCCAACCATCCCTACCTTATTACCTGGTTTCCATTCTAGTTGAGAATTACTAGAAATGAAATGTTACTCAAATATCCCTAGGAAGTCTCAACTTATTCTACAGATCAGTCTGGAATGTCAAAATACATATCTATATAAAATTGAATTTTATATTTTGGGAAATAAAGTAATATTCTAAGCTATATGTCAGATTACTTCTAATTACAATAACCAACATTTTGTCCAATAGGAGGTGAATAATGAGTCTGTTCAACCTATTTTTCATTTGTCCCTATCTGCTCCCTTCATACAACACCAACAAATTGAAAAGCCCTTTATATTTTATAGATCATCACCAGTATATATCTCTCAAACCTATGTGTACATTGACTTGTAGCACCAAATATTCAACTATTTCTTGCATCAACTTGGATGTCCAATATGCTTCTCAGATTCAATACATTAAAACTATATATTCTCTAAATCTGCTTTTGTTTCATTTTCTGACAGCTGTTCCATATATTTATGGACACTGGTAGTAATCCTCCATTGTGCTTCAAATTCAAGCACACAATCCTGCTCATCTTTCACTTTGAATAGGGGATTTCCTAACCTAAAGGAATCTAGATTTTACAACTTTCATTGTTGCAATTCCCAAAATATCACCATTTTTCACTAGGCATTCTTAAACAGCATGCAAAATAGATTCCAGTGTCCCTCCCTCCTTTTTTAAATTTAATTTTATTGTCAAGGTGATGTTTAGAGGGGTTACAGTTACATATGTAAGGTAGTGAGTACATTTCTTGTTAAACATTGTTACCCCCCTCCCTCATTTTTCTTCCACTTTCCCTCCACCACAATGCCCCTCCCCCAAAGTTAATTTCCCACATCTTGTCTTGTGAGAATCACTGTTGTTTTGTTCACCCTTTGTTCTTTGTTGCTGTTTTTTGTTGTTCCCCTTTCCTTTCCTAATTCAGATAAATGTACCATTCAATGACTTCCGTTTTCAATAGAGTGGTTTCCCTCCAATGTGCATATTATCACATTACTCTCCTACTTAAAAACCTTTGAGCAGGTGTATCAGATCTATAAGCTACCCAGCTATAGAAAATTTAATCTACCTCATTTACTCCATTATCAAGTCACTTTCGTAGAGTTTTGTTTGCTTGTCAATCTCTTTATATCATCAAGATTATACCAATGTAACTTCCAAACTTCTTAACTTGCTTG